TCATTTGAGTTGAGTTCGGAATGGGATTTTAGTGCAGTGCTGGTGCGGTGTTCGTGTAGTACCGTGTCATATCGGGGGATGAAGGTGTAATCGACGGTGTAACACCGAATACACCATCATTTTGTACCGAGTAAACGGTGTCCCACCATTTTCATACCATTCGGACACCAAATTATTTTCAAACGCAAAAAAGTATACACCAAACACTCCTACCAATTAACGAACGCCATAGTGTCAATAGTGTAAAAATTGTTGACACTTTCTACCATTCCAAACTCACCTATGGTAATGGTGCAGTGTCGTTGATGGCTAGGGAACGTTCCGTTCCGTTCTCCTATTTCGATATACATTCATTTTCTATTTTAATAAAAATAAAGTCGCAAAGTCGGTCCGCGATCATAGTTCAACTAATATCAGAAAATCAAATATTTTCATCAAGGAAAATAATTGAAATTTAAGAGATTTCCAGGGGGGGTCGAGTGACCCCCCCTGACCCTCTCTGTGGGCGCCCATGATTGAACCCAACACTATAGAAATATTAAACATCCCTGTAACAATACCAAATGGCGACATTAGTATTTACAAAACCTCGCTGTCCAACTGTATTTTAAAAGAATGCTTAACAACTGCGAGCGACGGCTATGCCCCAGTAGAAATTCATAACAATACTGATAGCGACCAGGAAATATCTTTGTATAACCCAATTCCCGTACAATCGTACAATAAAGCCAATGTTGAAATCTATAATATTTCTATAGAAAACACACCTAACGAATTCCCTAATAGAATCGATATTGTCGATATCATTGGAACCCAACACATGAACGAGGAAGAGAAGTTTCACATAGAAAAATTGTGCCAAAAATATTCGGACATATTCCATCTCGAAAATCAACCTTTGACTTTCACTAACCACGTAAAACATAGGATAAAAACTACTGACGAACTTCCGGTCTATACCAAATCGTATCGATATCCGTTTATACACAAACCCGAAGTAGAAAAACAGATCGGTGACATGCTGCAACAAAACATCATTAGACACAGCGATTCTCCGTGGTCCTCACCAATCTGGATCGTACCCAAAAAAGCGGACGCCTCGGGTAAGAGGAAATGGCGTATCGTAGTGGATTACCGGAACGTTAACGCCAAAACCATCGACGACCGTTATCCAACACCTAACATTACGGACATACTCGACAAATTAGGCCGTTGTCAATACTTTTCTACCCTAGACCTCGCGAGCGGATTTCATCAGATAGAGATGCATCCCGACGACATAAAAAAGACCGCATTCAATGTCGAGAATGGGCATTACGAATATGTCAGAATGCCCTTCGGTCTCAAAAACGCCCCCGCTACGTTTCAGAGGGTTATGGACGGTGTCCTTAAGGGCCTACAAAACCGAATATGCTTCGTATACATGGATGACATTATTGTCTACTCGACCTCTTTACAAGAACACATGACAAACCTAAAATTAGTCTTCCAACGACTACGCGACAGTCACCTAAAAATCCAACCCGATAAATCGGAATTCCTTAAAAAGGAAGTGGCTTTCCTAGGCCATATCGTGACAACAGAAGGCATAAAACCAAATCCTGACAAAATCAAGGCGATACTAAAATACCCGATCCCAAAAACAACAAAAGAAATCAAAGGATTTCTCGGACTTCTGGGCTATTATCGTAAATTCATTCCGAATTTCGCCAAAATAACAAAACCGTTTACTAATTGTCTCAAAAAGCACGCGACCATTAATGTAAATGATCCCACCTACGTAAAAACATTCGAAGACTGTAAAGTATTATTAACTAACGAGCAGCCGTTGTTGCAATATCCCGACTTCTCAAAAGAATTTAACTTAACTACAGATGCAAGCAACTTTGCCATAGGTTGTGTACTATCACAAGGTCCGATCGGACAAGATAAACCTATGCATCTAGAACATTAAATTCTGCCGAGCAAAACTATTCAGTAATTGAAAAAGAGCTCTTGAGTATTGTCTGGGGAACGCGCTATTTTAGGCCATATTTATTTGGGAGAAAATCCAAAATCGTCACTGACCACCGCCCCCTCCAATGGCTAAAGAACTTAAAAGAACAAAATTCAGGTTTACACACAGTTCGATGGCGTCTGAAACTCGACGAATTCGACTATCAGATAATTTATAAAAAAGGCAAAAACAAAACAAATGCCGACGCGCTATCAAGAGTCGAGATAAACGCAAATGAAGTAAATGATACTTTCGCCAACACCACCTGAAAATAACGACAACAGCCTTGACTCAAATTTACCGCCTGTTTTGCAGTATATGCAAGAATACAACAATAATCCCGTTCTAGACAACCAGCTTCCGAGCACAAGTCACGGACCCAATGATAAAATTACAACAGCTTTTGAAAATGATGAAAACAATCCCGATGTTGCGACCGACAACCAGTCAATTGCTGGCCAAGCTGACCCTGACGAATTTAATGATAATGACACAGTACATACCGATTCTGAAAATCCCATTTCATCTATTCACATTAGTGAAAAACCTATAAATTATTTCCTGTGTCAAATAGTCATTATAAAAATCGAAAATAACCCCCGAATTGAAATGAAGAAAATTTTCCAAAATCCTGTAAATAGAACCCGATGGTATATTTACGTAACAAACGATTCTTTCCAAGCACAAATTATCCAATACATAAAAGAATACATAGAACCAAAAAGGCAATACGTCTTTCTTTTTCAAACTTTGCGATGTAACTGAAGAAGATAGGCAGAAAAATCTCATTAAAATCCAACATGAAGGTATCACCAATCATAGAGGTATTCACGAAACGATTGACCAACCACGCCTAAAATATTATTGGCCCAAAATGAATGATGATGTCAGAAAATTCATAAATCGTTGCTCAATCTGTCAACAAGTGAAATATGAACGTCACCCACCATTGATAAAATTGCAATTAACACCCACGCCTAAAAAACCATTTGATACTTTCAAATTTGAAAAAACTGTTGCATTAACAATTTGTGATAGTTTCTCGAAATTTGGACAAGCCTATGTCCTACCAAGCTTATCTGTCGTACACGTCTATCAATCTCTCTTACAGTTTGTCTCAAATTACAAAATCCCAGAAAACATCGTATCTGATAATGGTACCGAATTCAATCAAAACCTTCTTAAAGAATTCGCCAAACTTTATAAAATCAATTGGCATTACACCTTGCCCTTAAACCCGAATAGCAACTCTATTGTTGAAAGATTTCACTCTACATTATTACAGCACATGCGGACTCTAGTTATGTCTAAACCAAACCTAAGTCCATTTGAAAAATTGAACTTTGCTATTATAGGGTATAAGAATTCGATCCATACAGCAACAAAACAGTAACCAATCGATTTAATTTTTGGTCACCTCCAATTAAAGGAACCAATCGATATTGATAACGATACCCAATTAATCAATCACGAACTAAATAAACATAAAGAGATAATCTCATACCTTTATAAAAACATTCATAATAAAATGAGCGAGCATAAAGAAAAGGTAATTTCTAAAGCTAATGAAAAACGAAAAGACCCTGTCGAAATTCAACCCGGAACAATACGTTATAAAAAACTAACCGACCGCCAGGGCAAAACAAATCCTCTATATAAACCAGAACACGTCTTACGAAGTAATGACTTAACTGTCACTACCACTCAAAATACTTATCACAAACAAGTATTCAAAAATCCACGAAATAATGGACCAAATTAAGTTAAATTTGGACTCTGTGCTAAATTTTCTAAACGATATAGAAAATGCCATAAGCTTTGCTAGTTTAAAAACCTTACATCATAGCATTATTACACAAAAAGAATTAAAAGAAATCGTCAAAGAACTTCATAAGTCTCACCACCACACACAATTGTTATTTTCACAAAACGAATACATGAATTACTATGAAGTCATAGAAACTAATAAAATCGTGTTTTCACTGGATTTACCTCTTGTGCATTCAAATACTTTCGATTATATCCACCTCTTCTCCGTACCCAATAAGAATCAATCCATCATAATCCCACCTTCGACCTACCTCACCCTAAGTACGGACCTTCACCAATATCAAAATGAAGAATGCATTGACCTCAAGCCAAACTATTTCTGCAAACACAATCGACTTCTACCTATACACGAAAATCCTGATTGTATCACGTCACTGCTGACATTAAGCAACAATTTGGACCAATGTCAACAAGTACCAGTACATATCCAAAAAGCCATGATGGAAGAAATCGATTCCGCCCACTACATTGGAATCTTACCGGAAGAACAAAGAATTCAAACAGACTGCGTAGAAAGCGAAGTAACTTCAATAACAGGAACCCGTCTTTTCACAGTCCCGCCAAAATGTTCAATAAAAATGCCGAAATATGTGTACAAAAATGAAAAGAACATATTTCACGGTCATCCAGTCACCCTCAATAAAATCAATACCAATCCGTGTCAAAGACCGAGCAGATTAAATTGGAGAAAATTCCTTTGGACAAGCTACACGAACTTCAACTTCGGAGTACGACAGAAGATTTTCTAGAATTTACCAAACTTCACCAAAGTACATACATGAATTGGCTTCCATGGATTCTAATAACAGCAATATTGATTTACGGCATATATTTCGCAATCAAGAACAACAAAATGAAAATTTCAAGAATCCTGAGAAAACCTCCCGCAACTGAGACAATTGACAAAACACGAGTGATTCCACCCTCGAGTTCCTTCTAGGGATGGAGGAGTTATGTGTGCCATTCGTGGGAACATGCTGACGATTGCATCGTCGACATGAGCAGTTTCTTGAGAACTGTGTAAGCTTGAAACCAGGATGCCCCATGCGAATAAAATTTCAACTTTTAGATTAGACATAGACTTTGAGCTGTTCACACGTATTTTTGCTTTTGTATTTTGAACTTATAATTTTTAATTAAAGTTAGTTTTTTTTAAAAACGGTTTCTTTATTACCGGAAACATAAAGGGAACTGTTGTAATGCTCTTCAATTTGAAGTACAGGATTTAAAAACAATAAATATATTTAATTATTTATTCTAGCTCTAACAATTATCACAAAAATTTGACCCAACAAAACACCGTTTTTCCTAATATCTATAGCCAATTGTATTACTGCACATTTTAATTAAGACTAATTGGACCTTAAATTTAAACTAATGAGATCTTATACAAACACACATCCCCCAAAGAAAAATAATCTAATTCTAATTTTTATACCCGATCACAATTTTGTGAATAACTAACAAAACTTTTCTTAATATAGCAACAAGCATTATCACAAGAATATAATATTTTTATCGCTATTTTAAGTGAACTTTAGTTTGAACTATTTTTAAAATAATTATCACAAAATAGTAATTTACTAAAAAAAAAATTGGCAAATTACATAATAATAATAATAATAATAATTTTTTTAAAAAGCAACAAAAATTATAACAAAAACAATTATTTTTATATTTCACAGCTTTCGAAATTCTTGAGTCAGTTATTTTTTGAATTACATATTTTAGTTTTTGATCACTTTATCGCTTATAAAACTATAAAAATTCCTCGTAAAACGCGAGGTACGAATTATAATTTTTATGCCAATTGTTGCATAAAAATTGTCAATAATAATTAATCAAACAACTTTCATATACCGACCAATCAAAACTTAGAATTCACTACAAAAAGACACGTCCAGATAATAATAAATATTAAAATGACTAGGCTTATAATTGAATAATTATACATTCATCTTTTTCTTGCTAAATCAAAAACACACATTTTACAGCCTTTAAACTACCTACTTAAAACAAAAATTAACTATCCATTAATTGGTCTATGGAATGTTTTCTTTCATATGAAACACTATTGTACCTACATCATAGAGTCAGATTTTCGACCAGAGTCATTATACAGGGTGACTCAGAATGTGCCAGTGCTTAACCCCTCCACAAATATTAAGTTGGATATAGAGGAATATTTACTCTGTACAATAGATGGACTGGCACAATAAATACCAAATTTGTTGCATTCGATAGACTCCTACTTTAGCACAAATCAGATCTGTTTGTTTCACTTTGATGGATTCGACGTTGAAGATGCTGCGCAATACATGCGCAACTGATCAATCGCGCAGGATTTTTCACAACACTCATTATATACGCCTCGTCTACGACGTTTCCTGCCGTAAATGCCCACCATGGAGGTAGCCTGCTGCCTACTCTGGAACGGATAGTCCGACAACGGATAGGGATTGCCCGAATCGTATATTTGCGATTTCCAATAGCTTTTTTTGTGGATGTGAACTGAAATTTTATTGTTTCTACCACTCTGTATTATACTATAATGATCAAGTTTTAGTTACCAGGTCTCATTGTTTGATAGTTGCCCTCGCAAATGGTGGCCAAAGCTTCAGTCAAATATCGTCCGCAGTACTTTTTCTGGTTGGTGGTCGTGGTACTTTCCATCATCAGTTTGAAGTCGTGCACTTGGCTGGCGCCACAAGTTGAAACGTACCAACATAGGTAGAGCATTTTGAGGATAAGACCGAGGATGTTCATCTGAAATTGAGTTCATTAACAATTGCACTTAGTGGAAAACTGAAGGAAGTTTTAGGGAGTTATTTTTTATGCAAATATTTAAAATTCAGAAGCGATCTAAGAACTTTTCTAGAATTTTTCTAATTCATCTAGGAAGTTAAGGTTTTGAAGCGATGAAGGAAAATTTATCGTATTTTGTCTGATTTTGTGTTTATTCCAGGCTTTTGAATGATTCTCCTCATAGTTTTTCGGTCCCCATTGCCTGAGGGGTTTTCTTCTCCCGTAATGTATCTGGATTACTCCCATTAAATGAGGAGATTGTTCTGGATATTTGAGATAGGTACACAAATTAACAGAAATATATAGTTATATACTTTATAAGCCTGAGAATTTCTAGGTTTGATTTTCTGAGGTGTCGATTTTATATGAAATTTAATTTTGATTAGGTAGGTATCACTGACGCTTGAATTATTAAAAACCTTTTCCAGACGAAATCAAGTTCAAAATTTGATAATTACTGGCTTTAAATCATTAGAAAATTTCTCTGGAGGAAATCAAGAGCCAAGAAGAGTTCATATTCCCATTATCATCAGCTAGAATATTTTTCTAGTCGAAATTATGATTATCATTGGCTCTTGAATCACTAGAAAACTTTTCGCAGAGAAAATCAAGAGCCGAGAATTGTTCAAATTTTGATGATTACTGGCTGTTGAATCAGAAAATTTCTCTGAAGGATATCAAGAGCCAAGATGGATTCAGATTTCGATTATCACCAGCTAGAATATATGATCATTACCGACTTTCAAATCACTAGAAAACTTTTTGTAGGGGAAATCAAGAGCCAGGAATAGTTCAAATTTTGATAATTACTAGTTTTTGAAGCATTAGAAATTGTTTCTGAAGGAAATCATAAGTTCAGAAGGGTTTAGATGACGATTATCTATCACCGGCTAGAATATTTTTCTAGACAAAATTATGATTATTACCGGCTCTTGAATCACTAGAAAACTTTTTGCACATAAAAACAATAGCCAAGAATAGTTCAAATTTTGATAATTACTGGGTATTGAATCATTAGAAAATTTCTCTGGAGGATATCAAGAATCAAGAAGGGTTCAGATTTCGATTATCACCGGCTAGAATATATGATCATTACCGGCTCTTAAATCATTAGAAAAACTTTTGCAGAGGAAATCAAGAGCCGGGAATAATTCAAATTTTGTTGATTACTGGCTTTTGAATCATAAGAAAATTTCTCTGAGGGATATCAAGAGCTAAGAAGGGTTCAGATTTTGATTATCTTACCGGCTTTTAAATCGCTAGAAATCTTTTTGCAGAGGAAATCAAGAGTCGGGAATAGTTTAGGGGTGAGACTCTGTAACGAAAAGAGATCGGAGATCGTTATCCCTATCGCTATGACACTTGCTGTCTTCTTCTCTCTTTTCGAAATCAATAGAGAGGGGACGTCAATAGAGATTGAGAAAATATCTCTATTCGTTACAGAGTGCTAGCCCAAATTTCGATTATCACCGGGTAGAATATGTTATTTTATTAGAAAATGCTTTTCTAATAAAAATGATTTTCACCGGCAAGGGAAATCAAAAGCCGAGAATAGTTCGAATTTGAGTTATTAGAGGATTTTTTGGAAAGCACAAGTGTTTAGCCAAAGCTCCAAAAAATCCTCTAATAACTTCGATTCAATATATACCAAGAATTTCAATATTGGTATATAGTTCAAATTTGGATGATTATTGGCTTTTGAATCATAAAAAAATTTCTCTTAGAGAAATCAAGAGCCAATAAGAAGGGTTCAGACTTCGATTATCACCGGCTAGAATATTTTTCTAGTGAAAATTATAATTATTACCGGCTCTTGAATCACTAGAAAACTTTTTGCAGAGAAAATCAAGAGCCGGGAATAGTTCAAATTTTAATGATTACTGGGTAATGAATCATTAGAAAATTTCTCTTTTCAGTAAGAAGGGTTCAGACATTAGTATCAAAAAGACATTATTTTGCATCTTTGCTAATATATAAATATTATTGAACATTAAGTTCGTTTTTGACTAATTGAGATCTCTTCTTCCACTCAATGACCTCAAAATTTTAAAAAACAAGATTTTTATGACTCAATAATTGAAAAATATGACCCAATTTTTATAGATTATTGCCTATTATTGGCGCCATTTAATTATTTTAATTGAAAAAATACAAACACACACCAAGATTTAATCAAATAAGAAATTCAAATAAAAGTGATAAAATTTAAAATTGATTGATGAAGTCATCTGAAAAGGTTAAACACTTTTGTTAAAAAAAAATAATTGTCGGAGTCTCCTCTCGCATCTTCAATCACTCTAAACGCAAATTTCAGAATGAAAATGAAACAATAAATCAAAAATATCCTTCTCCTCTTTTTCCAAATTGAAAAACCAATTTTTTCCAACTTCTGGAAGTTAGAAATGGCTCTGAGAGCCTCTTCTAACTAACAAAGTCAAAGCATCTTATAGCAGTTTCCAGCTTAAGATTCTCTACATCCCAACTTTAACCTAACTTCGATTCGTCAAGGTGTTTCAAAGTCTAAATTACCCGTAACCATCTGAATTACCGATAAACAAATTATTATTGTTATTAACATTCCTACCGGTTTTTTTTCGAGCTCGGATAACGTCAATTATCGACCACAAGAGTTCGAAAGTCGAAATGCCACGCTCGGATCACGTTCGATTTTTTTCTAATCAGGGATATCCATAGTATTATTCGCTTATAATCTGCCAATTACTGTTAGAATTTTGGCAATTTCTAATAATATAGTTCAGATAAGGCTCGCATCGAAAAAAATGTGGGCGAGACTTAAGACACACAATGGTCACCGAAAGTCAAATGTTGATGTATTTGAAAAGATAACCCCTGGAGGATATAATCATAATCACGTCCTAAAATTAGAATCATAGATAGTGTAATTGACATTTTATCAATAAATTGAAAGTATTAATATATAATTTGTTTTTTTGGATTATTTTGTTATTAGATTCCACAAATGAGACACCCTGAAAATTAACCTTGATCCGATTGGTTTGAAAATTTCAAGCCATAGTCAATTGCCTCAATAATTTAGGTACCTACTTATTTACTGTACAAATGAACTAATGACCTTTAATCAACAGGTAACGATAATTTGGACCTCGGTCAAAATAAAATTTATTCAGATTTTGAGTGCTCTAAATTTCCAACTCTAAGATATTTAAATTTTAGTTAACAGTTTTGGCTATTGCAGATGCACCTCCAGTCATAGTGTCCAAGGCACTAAGACCAGCAAACAAAGGTATCAGTGGTATTTTTTTAAGTCATCCAGTTTTTTAAGAGCTGTAACACGGCTGACAGTTTTCCTTAAAGATTTGTTGTTTTTTGGATCGATTTCGAAATTTTTTTTCCATATATGTTTTCCAAATGATCCAGCACAACCCATCCACAATTTTGGTTTCACTTTCATCGTATTTGTAATAAAACAAGCTGCAGACTTATCGCCTAAAAATGATCTTGATTGAATCAATAATTGAAAGTTGAACCAAACATGTCAAAAGTTGAGGAATAAAGCCACAGGACTTGGATCAACACTGAGTCAGATGTGACTACTGACTGGATAATATTGCTTATTTTTAACATCAAGAAATTCAAAAACTTGACTTTTCATGGCATTAAATCGACACAATCTACATAAAGCTCCGAAGCTAATTTTAACAGCAAATTTTAGCCCATGCATCGCTTGTCTTGATTTTCCAATTTCCATAACTTTCCACTTCAGACTTTAATAATTTGACTTTTTATTGTGTGCTGGTTTCTAGCACCAAAATGCATATTTGAACTATTCTCGCAAGAAGTTTCCTAGTGATTCAAGGGTCGGTAATAATCATAATTGGGACTAGGAAAATATTTAAGCCGGTGATAATCAAAATCTGAACTCTCCTTATTGGCTTTTGATTTCCTTCAGAGAAATTTCCTATTGAATCAAAAGCCAGTAATCATCAAAATTTGAACTATTCCCGGCTCTTGATTTCCTCTGCAAAAAGTTTTCTAATGATTCAAGAGCCGGTAATAATCATAATTTTAACTAGAAAAATATTTTAGCCGGTGATAATCGAAATCTGAACCGTTCTTGGCTCTTGATTTCCTTCAGAGAAATTTTCTAATGATTCAAAAGCCAGATTTAATTAAAATTTGAACCATTCCTGGCTCTTTTGCAAAAAGTTTTCAACTGATTCAAGAGACGGTAATATTCATAATTTTGACTAGAAAAATATTCTAGCCGGTGATAATCGAAATCTGATCCCTTCATGGTTCTTGATTTCCTTCAGAGAAATATTCCAATGATTCAGAAGCCAGTAATAATCAAAATTTGAATTTGAACTATTTCCGGCTTTTGATTTCCTCAGCAAAAAGTTTTCTAGTGATTCAAGAGCCGGTAATGATCATAATTTTGACTAGAAAAATATTCCTACCGGTGAGACTCGAAATCTGATCCCTTCATGGTACTTGATTTCCTTCAGAGAAATATTCTAATGATTCAAAAGTCAGTAATCATCAAAATTTGAACTATTCCCGGCTCTTGATTTCCTCTGCAAAAAGTTTTCTAGTGATTCAAGAGCCGGTAATAATCATAATTTTGACTAGGAGAATATTCTAGTCGGTGATAATCAAAATCCTTACCCTTTTTGGCTCTTGATTTCCTTCAGAGAAGTTTTCTAATGATTCAAAAGCAAGTAATAATCAAAATTTGAATTATTCCTGGCTCTTGATTTCCTTTGCAAAAAGTATTCTAGTGATTCGAGAGCCGGTAATAATCAGAGATATGGGAGAGTTGTTGGTTAGAATAGAATAAAGTTCCATCCTGCGCAACTAGCCGAATTTGAAGGACCGCCATTTTTATCACTTGTCAAATTCGGATTTGGGAACATAGGTTATGAACAACTCATAACTCAAAAAATAAGCGGAAATAACAAAAAGAAATCTTTTAAAACACC